CCTTTCGGAAACCGGGTTTAATTCATGACAAGCGTTCGCGTTACGACGTAGTAGTATAACTAGTCGATCTTTTCTCATTATTTTCACTAAACTTAGTCGGCCTTATTACAAAACAAGGTTTTACTTTAGTCTAGGACTAACCATAGAGCCAGTTTTTGTATTTCGAATTGAAGGTAGATGAAAATAAGATTCAAAATTCAAAACCCGACTCAATGGTTTAAACCTGGACTAAAGATAAATCTTGTTTTGTAATAAGGGGGTTTATGTCTTACAACAGTCACTATTCAAAAATGTAAGAATTATACTAAATGTAATATTTATACACCTGATATTTCAGACTAGTCATTGACAAAAATAAAAAAGCCAGTAACCATCCATCGAGCCCAAATCCAGTTTCAACTGGATTAGGCAGTCACAATCAACATCGTCATTTTCCAGAACTCCATTAACAGATTAAGATCACAATATCTCACTCCAGAGTTAGCAGTCTCAACATACATACATAACCTAAAATAGGTCGCAAGTCTTAAACTTCTTTAATAAATTTTCAACTCTAATACTTTGAAATAAAGTTGAGAACACACTTAGCGACCCATTTCTTATCCGCTATGACTGTTGAGACTTCGTCCACGAAGTTCCTAAGTCAAAGACCTTAAGAATCTTAGCATAAGGTACAATATTTGGTTTACAAATATGTGATACAATTCCATATAATAATGTACTTAGACTAAGTTAGCGAGTATATTCCTAAAGAATTTTCGATCAAACCTGCTAACAGCGATGACGAATACGTAAAAGAATAACCTCTTTTTTACCTAACATCGGTTAAATAGGTCTCAACATTTATTCTAGAGAAGACCATTTCAATACGTCATACACTTAAGAAAAATTTCATCACATTCAATATTAATATTTTTATTTATTATTTGCATTAAAATATTGTGCTTTCGTATCTATCAGACCTTTACATGTTGGTCCTAATAAGTACACATTAACTTTTTAAATGTTATTTTTTTTTTATTATACATCATATTCTGGCAACTTTGAGTTAAAACGCACAAAAAAAATCTATTCAGCAACCATCAAACTATGGTCTATCGGTTTAGTAATGAACTAAGGGCTGATTTTTCAATAGTCAGATAAATGTTATCTGAGGAATAAAATTGTTGCTGTCACTGTCTTATACAAACATTCTGACGCGACAGCATCATAATAACGTAACCATTGGAAAACCAGCCCTAAATGTCAACAATCTTGGCATGTCTTTTTATTAACAATCAGGGGTTTTAAATAAATCGATGTTAGCTAATTAACTGAATTTAAATTATCCTTTGTATGTATATTATACGACCTCTTTAATATAAAGACATACTCAAGATTTTTTACCATTAGTTAACTCTTAACCGACATATCATATACATATGCTATGATATAAACATGATGGTTTTACAAAACATAGGTAAGAACAAAAAAATAAAAAAGTATCATCAACACATTACGCTTAGAACGTTTAGTTTTAAAAAAGATGTTCACGTTCTTCAGTTGGTTGAGACCCAAAAATATTAATCCCTAACCATTATAAATGTATGCAACAGGTACACTTTTGACGCCATGACACACTAATATATATTATCCGAATTATTATTGTTAGGTACGTAACAAGATTCTTTGTAATAACGTCTGTGATCGTATCCTAAAATAATAGATCCCAGTAAGCAAGCTACCTTGACCGTTTTAAGAGAAAATGTTAATTTTAATATTAAATACTGAATCAATATTTCCAAAAAACAATTTCACTTAACTGCGAAATATTTTAAGAGCATTGTGAGTGCTTTATCGACCACAAACTTATGAAAATCAGACGTTAACCCTGAAACAATATGTGGGTCACATAACAATTGTTATCCAAACGAACTCGCTACACGATGCATCCAGTCAGCCAGCCACTGTGTCAACCGTGCAATGTGCAGTCAGAGTCTGAATGACTAATCTGTCCAAATGCCTCACTAGCGCCATTGGACGAGTACTATCAAAAACCTTTCTTTTTCAATTAAAAATACGAATTTACGTTAAAATCAAGAGTTACCTACATACTGAGGGATTCTTATTCATGGCCTCTTGGGTCGATGCACCCTTCTTAGTAGACCTTCATCGCCCAGATTCTTCGGGGAGATCCATATCAATACCAGGCTTAGTTAAACAACCAATCAACATGGGTCACTTAGCACGAGAACCCCGGCCTTAGTCATGGCCTCCACGTAAATAAGCTGTATTTTTAATTAATATGTCTTACACAAAAACCTCTGAGACTTACTCACGTGAATGAAGTCTCACTGAGACAATTCACGTAAGTAAGTCGTTATTTTTTCAATCTTTTTTTATGTCACGCTATTGTTACTATTTAAAAATACAACATCATTATTTGAAATAAAAAAAAATTAGGCTTCTAAGACAAAGTGAGACCATGTTAGTATTTTATTGCTTTAATTAATTTGTACGCAATAGGCAATATACTTTTATCACGAAAGATACTCAGCGTTATATACAATATACATCTCACAGGAAAATCGTCTTTCTCACATTGCAAAAATGAGCCATAATGGCTGTTAGGTTGATAAGGTCGTAATCCGTATGCGACTATTTTGAATAAAACAACGGGCGTTCTATGCAAAGATGTATAGGACACTAACTAACTTAAACTATTGAATGAGCGGTGTCGCCGTGCTACATACGGGGTACATCTAAATTGTTGAATTGAATGATCAATGGCCTTTCTTAATAATCTTATTTCAAATTAAAACGTCTCTATTTCTATATAACTAGAAAAGAGAAACATTGTTTTATTTTTAACCCAATTTTTTTTTTCCGTTTGGGTCTAAACCTGTCCAAAAACCTTCCTATGCCTTATACAAAATTAGATATTAAAGAAAACCGTTTTTACTGCCCGTCCAAGCAATTTTAAGCTTTATTTCGTTAGTAAAATGATAAATGGCAGTTGCAGTTAAAAGATAGTTTTGTAAACTTTTATGCTTTTAATGCCATCGTTAATCCTACGGAATAGAGTTTAAAATCGATTGAAGAGACTGTCATTAAGGTTCTTTGAAAATTCTATGGAGAACCGACCGTATTTTTCACAAACAATTCCTTAGATAAAAAATAAAATACTTTTCATGTATTTTTTCTTTATAATACGATACTAAAAATTTATATAGGAGCCGTTCACTAAATAATTAATATAAGGTTCGTACCTTGTTTAAATAGAGCATCATAAAAACATTTTGTTTTTTTAATTTATTGACTATCCAAGCTTTTTTCTATTACATCTTGAAAAAACTATGTGCAATCGTATCAAAATAATTAGAGAAATAAAGTGACACTGGATAAGTTTTGAAACTTAAAATTTACCTAAATTCTAAGTCCTGTCAGACCATAAAATTTCACTAATCAATTTCTATATTACATATTTTAATTCGTAAGTAATAAGATACATTTTTCTTTAAATATTTGTTAGTGCTACATTTGCGCGATAAAAACACTCGTATCACCAATGCAATAGAGTTCAAAATCGTCAGCACAAAGTTTCTAAATTTATTTATTTTTGATTGCGTATTTCATTTATTATTACACATTTTATGAACGACTAGACTCCTAGACATATTGCAAAAATATTTCTTTAGATAACTAACTCTATTTCTTTGAATTATTTTCAAGCATTTTGGGCAAAGGTAATAAATAAAGCTTTATACTAATGTACTTAAGGTACAATTTTTTTTTGCATTAATAATTGTTTTGCTCATACGTAGGAGCAAAGTTTTGCATATATATGATATGCAGTAACTTGCGTCTATTTGGATAATACAAAATGCACTCTTTGTATTTTATTATAAAGTCCACATTGAGTTATGCATACGTAAATAGCACTGACATTAACAACAGACACATAACACACCAACTTTGGCTATAAAGAACATTACTTAATAAATAAGTACATTAAAATTGAGACTAAAATAAAATAATTTACATTTGTGAATTGCAACATTGCAAAATAAACCTCAATAGGTAATTGCAAGGTTCATTTTTCAGTCGTAACGATCACTGAAATATTTAACTAAAAGTCAAAAGTCAAAAAGTAAACTATAGTTTACTTTTTAAACACCTATATGAAATTAATTATGTGTCGACGGCTTATACCTGTCATTGTTTACGAAATAACTCGACCAGTTTCAAACCGTGGTAGGGGTTTATATTCAAGTTCGAAACCAGTCGAGTTATTTCGTAAAACACAATTAGTTTACGAGTGACAACAGTTTGGGTAAAAAGTTACAACAATGGAATAAATAGTCTTTGGAGAAATATAAAAAGCAAGATTCGGGTAAGGTGAAAGTAGGTACCTAGGCAGGTAGTAGGATGGCCACTAGTGCGGAGTGGGGCCGCAGTCGGCGCCGTGTTTCTGTATGGCGCGCGGCGCGTGGTGGCGACGTCGTTGGTGCGCCCCGCGCCCACTAGTGCGGAGTGGGGCCGCAGTCGGCGCCGTGTTTCTGTATGGCGCGCGGCGCGTGGTGGCGACGTCGTTGGTGCGCCCCGCGCCCACTAGTGCGGAGTGGGGCCGCAGTCGGCGCCGTGTTTCTGTATGGCGCGCGGCGCGTGGTGGCGACGTCGTTGGTGCGCCCCGCGCCCACTAGTGCGGAGTGGGGCCGCAGTCGGCGCCGTGTTTCTGTATGGCGCGCGGCGCGTGGTGGCGACGTCGTTGGTGCGCCCCGCGCCCACTAGTGCGGAGTGGGGCCGCAGTCGGCGCCGTGTTTCTGTATGGCGCGCGGCGCGTGGTGGCGACGTCGTTGGTGCGCCCCGCGCCCACTAGTGCGGAGTGGGGCCGCAGTCGGCGCCGTGTTTCTGTATGGCGCGCGGCGCGTGGTGGCGACGTCGTTGGTGCGCCCCGCGCCCACTAGTGCGGAGTGGGGCCGCAGTCGGCGCCGTGTTTCTGTATGGCGCGCGGCGCGTGGTGGCGACGTCGTTGGTGCGCCCCGCGCCCACTAGTGCGGAGTGGGGCCGCAGTCGGCGCCGTGTTTCTGTATGGCGCGCGGCGCGTGGTGGCGCCGACGTTGGTGCGCCCCGAGCAGGGCGCGGCCCGCGCCGGCACAGAGCTCGGCGCCGTCCCTCATGGTGCACACGCGCGCGCCGCCCGCTAGCGAGTTGCCGATGTGGCTGAGGACAACGACATTGTTCACTCCATCGTCACAGTACGCCAACGGCATCGAAATTGGTGTGCGAGGTAAAGGTTCAATCATCGAGAGGAGTCGAGAAGTACTTGTTTAAGCGCGGCTGCGCTCACGCATTTCTCATCGCATCATAATCTTTGTTTACGTAGTGTTAGGGCCTGTTCACACCACACCTACTTTTTTGCGGATTACGTCATACGTAACTAGGAGTCAAAACATGTGACAGAGAGTCGATAGCAGCGCTCTTATATTAAAACCTAAACTTTTTAAACTCCAATCTCCAAACCGCGTACTGAGCATGAAGATTTTGGCAAACCCATCTTGTGTTGAGGAAACCTATAGCTCACCATAGTACCTAATGTACAAATGTGGACTTGAGCATTACTCAAGGCCTTCACTACCAGTCGCAACTTTGACTTATGCAGAAGAGTCGCTACGCTAAGCACTGCCTAACAATCTCCTACCGCTACCACTAACTATCACGTAGTCTACTAGGGTCGGTGCCCAGCCAGTTACACAACCCCCTCATAATCATCATGATGGCAAAAAAGCTATTGAGAACTCACCGAATGGTGTGGAAAGGCACATGTCCTGTAGTGATCCACTCTAGCGCTCCGCCCTCTTGCAAGGCGGCGCAGCCCACAAACTTGAATGCGCTCGCGCACGAAAAGAATATTATCACGCGACTTCCTTCCTGCACCATAAATAGACAAGATTGAATAACAATAAGAAAATATTCTCATATTTGAAATCCAGCAAGAAGTTCAAGTTAAACACGAAAATAGAAACACGATTTTACCATTAGAAGTACAAAATATTAGAAGTTCTTCAGGAAAGCTTTCCCAAACAAAATATGAAAGAAAATACTTTTATTTTAGATAAAAAAAGCAGAGCGAAATAACTTTTGTGACTGACCTGTCTAACTTTCTGCAGTTTCTTGGCGGTGTTCTGTGAGAATGGGAAGGTCCCAGTGTTCTGTGCCAGCTCGACAGTATGCGCGTCGTCCGCCTTGGCCACGAAGTAGCGCACGTTGCCCTCCCCGCCCTCGCCGTACTTCTCTATGTTGGCCAGCAACGTCTTGCCGTTGGGCGACATCGGGCTCTTGGGCCCGCTGTACGACTGAGGGGAAAACGGCTGAGGCACGTCGTTCCTCCAACCCCCCGGCCGACCCTGACCATTCCTATACCCTCCGTAAGCATTATTATAAAAGTTCCCTCCGGGATATCCGCCTTCATTCTGGTTATACTGCGGGTAATAGTTCTTGTTATCGTGTCGGTATTGCTCGTCGTTTTCCAGTCTCGACCGCCAGTTGGGTGAGTCTACTGTCAGAGGTTTTGGTCTTTGTCCTATACCGCTCGGCTGGTTGAGACCTACGTTCTTCTCTTCTGCGCCCATTACATGTACTACTGTGCTTAATATCTGTTCGTCTAAGGGCGTCATGGGTTTGGCAGGGTTGGACATTCGACGTATTACTAAAGCACAGAGTTTCTGCCTGAGGTAGAACACGTTGAGAGCGTCTGCAGCATCAGTTGTGAAGGCCATCCAGTCGTCGATAGTAATCACAGCCGCGTCAGGAGACGCGTTGTTCTCATCCGCCTCACTGTCGGAGTCACTGGACAGTCCTGGCGGGTTCGCTCGTTGTGTCAGAGCAGAATTTGGCAACCGCAAGGGACCACCGAACAAGGCTACTGTCAATGGTGTCACTAGAGTGTTACAGCGAATGAAACAGAACCTGCCAGCCCTTGATATCTCCTCAAACACCACCCAGTCTGTGGGCAGGTTGTGCACAGACTTCTGTGACCCAGTCAGGCCCCCGCCCTGGTGTAATGTAGAACTAGGATGGAAGGCTACCTTTACTTCTTTGGACGTTCTTAAAGTGGATGAGTCTCTATCAACACGCGCTATTGAAGGATATAGTCCGCTAACTAAAACAGCCTTAACAACGTGCCACTTTTCCGAGTTGAGATTGACGTCCTTTATATCTCCCGAGCCTCGCGCTTTCACTAAACATAGAGCTCTTAATTGAGCCAGTAACTGAGAGCGATATCCAACGATCATCTCCATAGTAGCACCACAGATTAAGTTCTTAGCACAGAAGGCACGTTCTGTACCGTTTGCCCTGGCAGTCTGCCAAGCTTGGAACGCTCTTAACAAGGCCATATGGTCCGAATAACTATCCGCTGCAAATTCCTTCCGAGCCATACTCCCCTTCTTCCTATTCTCAGGGTTCATTGAGATTTGGAAGGGTTCCTTATTGGCCAAACTACACACTATCGTTAGAATAGGATCGAGGCACTTCATAACACAGGCGTACAGTAACATTTTGCCTAGTTTAGGTTCCACGGTAAGATCTAGAAGATGTTGTCCTATTTCTGTAAGGTCTTCCATAGGGGTTAAAGCACCGATAGTCTTGAGTAAAGAGACAGCGTTTCTAACAGCTAAAAAGGAAGGTGGTTCTAGGGCTTTGGATAGGAAGTCTGCTATGGGAGTGTTGCCAGTGGCTAGGAGTTTGGTGTGGAGACAAAGTTCTTGTAAGGGTACGCGGAGTATTTCGGGGACAGAGTTTAATGGGAGGGTGGAGAATCTCCGTCGGGAGCAGAGATGGTAGCACTTCCCTGGCGCAGTCCTGCCTGCGCGACCAGCTCTTTGCTGACACCCGGCGCGAGAAGTCCATACGCATTGCAGGGAACAAACCCCACCGCCTGACTCGTAATACTTTTCCTTTACCTACAAAACCGAGTAATTTCTTTTAATTGAGCTCAATCTTTTGTTTCAACAAGATTAAAGTTGGAAATGAAGTTCTTATCTTTGAAGAGCACGTTAATCCAGTGATCGCAAATAAAACTTCCGTCTATTGACATACATTTTGTGTGTCAATAGACTACATATTACATGGGCCTTATGTCTTAATCTTTAAGAAAGGAAATCAAGAAAATTTATATCAACATTATTCTTACCTTACACGAATCCACGACGTAGACGACATCGTCTATGGTAATGGACGTCTCAGCGATGTTCGTGGATATAATAATCTTCCTTGCGTTCGGTAGTGGATTAAACACTTTCTTCTGGTCCAGAGTCTGCATGTTACTATGCAGGGTGAAAATCTGATACTTATGACTATTCATCTCTGAGCAGGATTGTATCATGTCTCTTAATGTAACTATATCATCGTATCCGGGCAAAAAGACTAAGATACTCCCTTTAGGTAGATTTACATGGATGTACTTAATCAAGGCAAGCATGAGATCGTGGTCTATCAATTCCTCTGATATCGTGTGATGGTACACGTCTAGAAGAAAGTTGTCCGCGGCATTATCATCGTCTAAGCTCCCTTTCGGGTCCTCGCTTAAGTTGAATGTGGATAACAGTTTGGCGCAGTCTGCGTGATTGTTTTCTACTGCGTAGTCGTACGCTGTCTTGCCATCTTTGTCTTTTGCTGTGGGGTCCGCGCCTGTAACAATTTTTTTTGTAATTATTGCTAGATGGCTACTTGTTCCATTTTGTAAACTTAATAACTTAGCAGCTGCGGCGCGGGAGTAGCTAGTAGTTAATACAGTTACCGATCTGCAGCATCTGCGCGATGGTCTCTGCGAGTCCCCTGGCGGCGGCGGCCATGAGGCCGGTGCGTCGCGACACGGAATGAGCGCAGTGCACGGACACTCCCTCCGAGATGTACATGTACAGGATCTGCGTGAACGAGTCCTGCAACACGAACAACTTGTTGCATTACACTACTTTCCTTACTAACATAATAAATATTACATCCGAAATTGAATTGATTGAAAACGGGTGCCACGAAGTGGTAATTTGAGATTAGAAAAAGGTAGATGTCGGCTGGAGCTATATCTGGCGAAAATGGTGGCCTGCTCGATAGTAGTTTTTTGACTGTTTGGTCAAAAACTCGTTCTCAATAATATCCTTGTGCGAAGATGAGCTAACCAAGTATTCCTTTTATTATGGAATAGGAGGCAAACGATCAGACGGATCACCTAATGGTAGATATTTTGCGGCCATGGACACTTGCGGCACCAGAGGCGTGACAGGCGTGATCCCGCAATTTTAGTTAATTTGTAAGTATACACATTACATTTTACAGCTATCATTTAACGAGACATTTAATTAGTGTAGCCTAGACTATTTACAGTACCATTCTGACAGCTGTTTATTTTAATGGCGTTTCAATTTTTTTGCGGTTCAGTTCTAACCTTATCTGACTTACCATTTTGGTAGCAACTCGGTTCTTATGGCAATGCCTTCACCCTTTATCTAATAACATGAGAAATTTTGCCACTCAATCAAATTACTAGTCAGTCAGGCCGTTACTTGAATGCCAAATTCAAGTATTTGTTTGAGACATATTACTATACCTGACCTTCTGTTTTTAAGCGACTTTCTACCTTAAAGAGCTAGAAATAAGACTCACCAGTGTGCCTTCATTGAAGCATTCATCAAGAAACTCGTCCATGTCAGCCTGTAAGGACGGCTCGATCATGTTCTCTTTGTCTTCCTTCACGTCCTTACTGCTATTGCCTGCGTCATCTTGCTTCTGACCTGTATGTGGCAAAAAAATATATATTTTTTTTTATTCTTCATGAAGAATCAATTGCACAAGGGGACTTAATGCCTTAGGCATTTTTGAAGTGCCGCGCGCGCCTCAATGAGCCAATGGACTACTACAGATGGGGCCCAATAGGGTCGATTTTAGCCGGTGTCGCGGATAAAGCTAACACATGTTAACACTTCTCTGCATCACCTCTGCATTAAGTCCGCCTTTGTATGTATTTTTTTTATATGTACATAAAGTGTTAAATAAATAAATAAATAAATAAAAATAAAGCGTAACAAGATACATCTGCCTGGAGCAAGAGAAGAAACGGGGGTTTTTCAGTCATTAAGAATCTAAAACACTGGGCGAGAGAAGTCATTTGAGGATTTGCCCACCTCTAAAAAAGGGCCATTTTGTGCCAGTCGAGTTTTAGCCTTAAGTATTTTTAAGTATTGGGTAACCTCGCTCACACGACCAAAACAACGCCATGGTTGTTTCACGCCGCATTTCCATGAGGATGTGGTATTACTCTGGTCAAGCCGATCCATTTGTGCCATAACAAGGCTCCAAAATTGCCTGATATATATTACAGTTCCTTTTTTAAACACATACCTTCAAGGTGAGACCAATAGCTGTTGCCACTCTTGAGCTTAGCCTTGAGTTCCTTCTCAACTTGCACCATCTTCGGAGTCTTGTACTGTGAGATCTTGAGGATATCCTCCAGGTAGTACCTCTGCACCTCGTGTAACCGACCCGGGATTGTGATCACCGGGCAGTTGTTGAAATAACTGTAAGATAGACAAAGTATTGGTTTGAACAAGTATACAATTGATTTGAAAGTTGTAGTGAAAACTTTTATTTTATTAAAGAACGTTGCCCCACTCTAAGATTTTCTCCTGTGTCGTGGATGCGTAGAAGACATACAATGTCACATGCACATCACACCCAGACCCGGAACAACAATCTGTGGATCACACAAAGAGTTGTTCTGTGCGGGAATCGAACCCGCGACACGTTGCGCGGCAGCCAGTTGCCCAGCTACCGCGCCAACCGTGCAGTCAGTCACTTTAGAACAATGTAATGATTTAGTTTATCTTACGAGACTAATCACTTCATCGTTTTGGGACTTATGATGTCACGGACTGACAAGGATATCAAAATTACAACACACTTTTTTTGCTGTTGATGTTTAAAACTAATGAACAGATCAGAATGAGATTTAATTTAGAGACAACCTATAGGTTAAAACAACATAAAAGTTAATTTTTCTTCTAGAAACGAACGACACGGCAGAAAATACTCATCATCATCATCATCATCAGCCTATAAGTGCCCACTGCTGAGCAAACGCCCCTCTGATACGGAGAAGGTTAGATCATTAATCACCACGCTTGCTCAATGCGGGTTGGTGATTTCAAACTTATAATAAGAAATTATAAGTTTAGGTTTCCTCACGATTTTTACTGTCACCGTAAGTCAGTGGCGTCTAAATAATCATAGAAACTAAATAAAACTCGGAAAAAAGACACATTGGTACTTGCCAGATTTCGAACCCACACCCTCATGCATGAGAAGCGAGCTTCTTAACCTCCGGCCCACCACGAAAGGTAATACGGAAAATACTAGTGTAAGACAAAGTATTAAAATAAACGTTACCGTGAGAATATTTGCGTGTCCATAGTCGCAGACATGAGTATAAGCTTGAGGTCCTTGCACCTGGGCAGCGCGTCCCGGAGCGCGATCAGTAAGAAATCGCTGAACTTATCTCGCTCATGCACCTCGTCCACAAATATATGGGTCACGCCTGTAAATAATATTTTAGTGATTATACATATTCAACTTTACTGCTTTGTTACAAAGTCAAAAATAGATATAAAATAAAATATTCAGAATTCGTCTGAATGTTAACGTAAACTCGGACTAGACGTTTAGGGTTTTTTTTTGATGAGGAGAAAATCATCGAATGACTTCTCCCGCCCAGGGTGGGGCGGGAGGGAGTGTCAGACTCTTACTGACTGAAAACCCCCCTGTTCCTTCTCCTGCTCTGTGCCGAGGTCGCGGTGCCTCATTGCGCTTACCCCGCAACCCCGGCGCGCCTTAGGGGTATGTACATGATATCGAAAATCTAACTTGAAAACCAGCATTATAAAAACAAATATATGCCAAACTTTGACTTATCTTACAAAACTAGGCACTATTTTCATAAAACTAACAAACAGAATTCCAAGATATATGTACATGTACCTGTAAGCGATGCATCTCCAGCCATGAGTGTCCGGAGCAGTACTCCGTTGGTGCAGTAAGTGAGCACGGTGCGGGGACTGACCCGGGACTCCAGCCGGATCTGGTAACCTATGGACTGGCCTATCTTCTCCATGCGCTCATACGCTACCTGGAAATAAAATATAAGTTACACTCACTGAACCTTACAAAAAGCTTTTACAAAACATGCTAGAATAACATATATATTATTTTAAACATCTTCAAACCCCCCCCCCCCTCGCATCGCCTAGAATATATAGGAATAATAGGAATAAAAAGATACAGGAATAAGATCAAATAAAATAAAAAAGTAAATAAAAGTACAAACCCTCTCAGCGACGGCGACGGCGGAGATGCGTCGTGGCTGCGTGCAGTAGATGCGCGCGGGCAGCTTCTGCTCCTGGCACTGGTCCAGCACCAGCTGGGGGAGCTGGGTCGTCTTGCCGCATCCTGTCGCCCCCGCTACTATTATCACCTGGCCACCCAAATATACATTCACATAAAACCAATGAAGATAGTGAACAAGTTATTGTACCTCTTTTACCGATAAACTACAACCATATTCATCATACTCTATCCCTTTATAGCCCCCAAGCTCAGAGACTTTAAAGTTAGTTTCAGCTTATTGGTAGGGTGTAGCAACGAAAAAAGTAGGAAGACAATATAAATATTTGCTACAAACGAGTCTATCAAATGTTGTTGCTGAGCCTAAATCCAACAAATAAATAGAAAAAACTAGTATGATAAAAATATTGTATATCGAAATCGTTAACAAACTTTACAATAATGTTAAAACTAAATGCTTGGGTCAGTTGAGAATTTACAGAGAATCTCGATAAATAAACATTAAAATTTTTCTCTATATGGGACTCGAACGCGAAATCAAGTTGCCGGAAGCGCCATTTAGGACCATTCGATTTTATATTGATATTCTCAAGTTGGATTCAAGATTTAATCAACTAAATCAAATAAAGTACTTTTGCTATTTTCTAAATTCTAGAATGACTGGTTCAAATTCAATATTTTTTTTTAGTTACAAAACCTCAGAACTTTGGTGTTTAATCTTACTTAGTTGTAAGGTATTTTACTATACTGTATCACTATATTAAATACCTGGTTACATACCTGATTATGTAGAATTGCATTGATGAGTTCCTGCCTCTGTTCATACACTGGTAACTTCTCTCTGAACTTCATCAAGTCTGGGTTGTACTGTGTGTTGGGTACCTGGAATCATGTTAATAATATGTAAATACTGGCTGTTCTCACGGTGACTGGGCTTTTATTTGTATACCACAAGTTGTTGTAGCAAGTCAGCTATGAGTATGAGTGATGGAACTCTTTTTTAAATGTATAATTTATTTATTTAATTTGTACTAGTCAACTGTAAGGGTGGTGCAGATAAGTCAGGGTTATAATATGTCCTAAAGAAGTGTCACATAATTTTTAATAAATACAGGTACTAGATGAGTAAATAAAATAATAATTACATCAAACAATATTATATGATAAAACATTTTAATTTTAAATTTTAAATTGGATAAAATATAGAAATAGAAGATTGATGGACTTAGCTTACCATTTCCTTTTTCTTCAAAAATTACAGAAGCATGTAAGATACAAATAACAAATTCATTATAAACATAAGTTAAATAGAATAAGATGATATACTTGACACCATGATATACTTTTTTTTAACAAAAGTATGATAATTATTCCCCATTATGCAAACAATGAGAAACTTATAAAGATAGAGAGTGAAGCAAGCTCTAAGAAAGTAATTATCAATGTTAAATGTTTAAATATTCCTACATATCTAAATATGTTTATGGCCCAAGGCAGGAAACAGGAAGGCAGATCACCAGAAGGTAAGGAATCAGCGCTGCCCATGGTAAAACCAAAAGTGAGTAACCTGGCCTTTTCAGATTTGACATAGACATTGTTTATAAAAATATAACAATACAAAAAATTAACAAACCTGTGCAACTCCATTATTGAGCTGTCCCATGGTCTTATGTGTGAGCTGTGGACTTCTTTCCTTCTCGGGACAGCTGCTAAGGTCATCTTTTTCCTTACTAGTGACTGGGAATGCACTGAGCAACTCTTTGATGGTACAACGCATATTTGAATCCAATATAAGTTTGGCATCATTCTGTATTATTGTTGAACCAATCCTTTTGTATATTGTTATGTAACGATTTACACCTGTAAAGAGGTTTGATGTGTTTTACAATGTTTTGTACTTTTTTCATTGTTATGTTTCATGATATTTGACTATATATTGTAGCATTGTGTGTAATGGCCTATAACATTCCACAATAAATAACCTGCCAACTGAATTCAAATTAAAACAATTGATTAATTCAAACCACAACTTCTGGAGATTGGCATGATTAAACAAATATACTCTTGTTGGGATAGATGCAGGAAGAATAAGAGTATTGTTTCATATTTCAAATACATAGTAAGTATAGTTTAAATATAATGTTTACATTATGAAACTTTGTGGAGACAACAGGTTGTTATTTGTCTCTTTAATATCCAAGGTAGGTATATCTACATTATGTTGTTTTTGTAATCAAAACTGTGATTAGATATAAGAATGAAATAGATGTACCAAAATGTGGTTTAGGTAAAACTAGAAATATTACTGATGCACAATAAATAGTAAATGTATTAAATGTTTTTTATTATATTTTTTTGTATAAACCTTTCGTATTTGTTGAGTTCCTATTTCAAATTATTTATTTCTGCCAGGTAATTATTATAAAATTACTCAAAGATAAGTCTAAATCTAAATCAATTTTACAAACGTATTTTCTGCAACAAAAATAGTTGCAGAAATGTTCTTTTTAAGGCAATTTTTCGGGTTGGCCGTATGTTTTGACATAAAAAAATTAACTGTTTCTGATTGGAATCTATTTTCAAACATAAATATTTCACAACAGATTGTAAGTAAAATATTACATATTATGTGAAATACACACATAATAACTATAGATATTACTTTTATCTTATAAAAGAACTGCCGTTTACATAAATAATTGTAAATATTCATATAGATAATAAATCTTTTCGCATCAAAATACGATCAGCCGTGTCGTTTCAATAACATACCTTTCCCGCGCGATTTCGACTTCAGCCCGAGTTTAGCAACTGTCTCGTGGATGAATCCTCGCTCTTGTGCTGACAGGAAGGTGGGAAACTTAAGTTCAGTCTCATTTTCATCACTAATAAACTTATCCAACTGAATCTTCAGAGCTATGCTCACAGATTCAGCTATAGGAAAATGTTTGTTTCCATGACGCCTTCCCTTTTTAGAACTCATTTTAACACTTAAATTAAGCTATCGACAACAAATTACATATAAACTTATACAAGATATTGTTTACATAAGCAAATTAGTATCAACGACGGAATATTTAGATGAAAGAAAAACGAAACGAATACGATTCCATATTTATTTCTTGCTTACGATAGGGTGGGGCACTAACTTACTAATCTTGCGATTAGACGATTGTCAAAATATTACGTTTTTAATTATGTTTCCGTCTAAAACTCGGTTTTGTGTTGGTAATCAAATATTATTATAAAATGGTATACAACAAAAAAATAGTTATTTACCAATGCAAAAAGCTCTAAATTCTGAAAAAGATTTAATATAAAATTGTCAAAACATTCAACTTAGTTGAGTTCTCGGCAGGTGTCATTTGAAAGCTATGCAAGTAGTGCTCTTTACAATCAAAACAATAAATTTATATATCACTTTGATACGGTACCTCTATACGTCATAAATTAGTTAAATCAAGAAATAATATTTTTTCTCTCATACGTAGGTTTACTAAACAGATTTAATTTAATTAAAAAAAATAGTATATTGATTCTGCTATAAATTAATCAAACGGACATACTCCTTTTGGTAAGAAAATAAAGACACAAACTGTAAAATGAAACAAACACGATCTAAATTATCTCTCTCACAATGGAATTTTTAAATCAATAATTATTCTATTTCAATGACATTAGTCGAGTACAAAAAAATCGACAACACTATTGGTAGAAGGAAATGTCATTTCAGTGGGTAACCGGTTTCATTCCAGCTCCTTCTTTCCAGCGATTATGAATAAATTAAGCATGTACTTTCAGAAGATAATAAGAAAAAAGTAGTCAAACATGAAAAATTCGTTATATTCGGGTATTTTAATTTTTCAGTTTTAAATAAATTCAGGCGATTCACCATATTCAAAAATATCTACGTATAGTATGTATTTTGTTACAATATTTTGTAGTTGTACAATACCAAATATTTAGTTAATCTATGGATAGAGACAGACATTATTATTGTACGGCTTAAAGAACTTGTATCCAGGCCATAAACACCAGAAAAAAAAAATTCCATTCTTTCTTTCTCCTAGTTTAGTTCGTTCATTTGACATATTGACAATGAGCTGATTGAGCTGAGCTGACAGAAATTTTGACAATTTGGCCAAAATAATTACCACGAGCACGTGAAGGGAAGAAGTTGAAACGATTTGTTGAGTGTGAGTTACTAATGTAATACCACAAAATGTCGAAGAATATTAAGCATTTAGTGGTGGACACCACCGCATTTATAAAGGCAGCTAGTTTACAAGATATTGCCGAAAATGTTTACACAGTGCAAGAGGTTATTGATGAAATAACGAACGACAGACAACGCAGAAAACTTGTAGTGCTCCCATACGATCTTATTGTCAAAGATGTATTCACTGAGAATATTAAATTTGTCACCGAATTCTCCAAAAAAACTGGTGACTATCGTAGTCTATCAGCCACAGATATTAAGGTAATGGCACTTACATATCAGCTGGAAAAAGAAAAAGTAGGCACTGATCATCTTAAAACCGAGCCTACAACACAGAAAGTTGTTAAAGTTACTGGTTTACCCAACTACAACTCTAATGGAAACACCACAGAGGATTCAGAAAAGATTAACCAAGAAACAGGAGAACCATCTGAAAAGACAGATGAAGAAACAGGAGAAGTTAACACAGTAGATAAAATTGTTCCTCAAACAGACAACAATGCAAGCAATGACGATAATGGCAATGATGAGGAGGAAATGGAAGCAGAAGAAATTGCTGAACAAATAAAAAATATGGACATTAAAGAGGAAAATGTGGATGAAATCATTGTGAAGGTTACTGAGGAAGAAGAGGAGTCTGAAAGTGAGGAGAACTCGGACAGTGACAGTGATGGTGGAGACTGGATCACACCAGGCAATGTTGCAGAGAAGAAGAAAGAAATTGAACTCGGAGAATTTGAAGTAAAGCCTGTTGAAGTGGCATGTACAACATCTGACTTTGCTATGCAGAATGTACTTAAACAAATAGGTCTGAATGTGACTTCTGTAGATGGCAGGATCATTAAACATTTACGCACATTCATCTTCAGGTGCACAACATGCTTCAAAACCACAAGTGTCATGACCAAAGTATTTTGTCCTAAATGTGGACACTCCACATTGAAGAAAGTCGGTGTAAGTATTGATGATGATGGGGTGCAGCACATTCACATCAATGGTCGGAAACCATTGACAGCACGGGGCAAGAAGTTCAGTCTTCCAACACCAAGAGGAGGGCAGCACTTCCAATACCCAATCTTGACTGAAGACCAACACATCCACAAGAGATTTGCCACAAAATTGGCAAGAAATAAAACTAATGCTATGGACCCTGACTACACAGCTGGATTCTCACCTTTTGCCATGAGGGATGTGAACTCAAAATCAGCTGTACTAGGTGTAAGAGCAAACAAACAAGACCTAAAGTACTGGATGAAAAACTGCTACAAAGGAAAGAAGAAATAACTTTTATTTATTTGGCTGTAGCCATTTTTTGTATATAGAAAATAAAAATAAATATCTTTTATCATAAAATATATTCTTATTTAAATGCTGCTTGTTGAAATGTTCACTTATACATATAACAACAGTATATAATTAAACATTGTGTTTAACTATAGCGAGACTTTCTCATCAATAAACTTGAAAACTGATTCCATACATGAATATGATGTCATTTCATGCTTCTGATGACCTGTGAAAAGAAAATAAAAAAGGTTGCATACTTCCAAAAAGGTTATTCTCTATAATAAAAAAAAAATATCTAAGGTATCTTACCAGCTGAAACTCTAGGGATATCATAATCTGGAGTGTTCATTGGTGTGTCCAATGGAGACTGACTTGATATCCAGTTTCTAGCAGACTGTAAACATAGTATAAAGATTAATTTTAACATTTGGAGGTGGAAAAATAGGACAATATGACTAGCCAATGAAAATATAAACAACAAAGCAGTTTAGTTTAAAAAAAAAGGGAAAACAACCAACCTCTTTCATATACTTAGTTATTTCAATATTGGAGTACACATGTACTGAATCCGTAAATGCTATAGCCTTGACTCTCTTCTCAAACTCACTCTTCAGTTGATCAGCCAAGGTCACAGTCAGTACTCCTCCATAGCTATGAGCTACTATTGCTATTTTAGTTGCTTTTGTATTCTTCACATAGTTATTCCATACATAATTGGTATGCTCTTCTCCGGAATTGCTGTGTGGAATCTTTTGGCCATTCGATAAAAAGTTATCATTTGGATTTAAAACCATAACCCCATAACCTTTTTCTTGGGCTCTTTTAATGTAAGGTAATTGGGTTCCCATGTCTAAATTATCATTAATGATGAGGCTGCAATAAAATGTTTCATTTGGAATTGAAATGATGTAAATAAATATAAAATATGTTTTAAGAAGTTAGCCTACTTACGATCTAGCCCATTGCCCAGCTCTTACAGCACCAGATCCGTGAATAAGAATCAATAAGACATCTTTCTGATCATAATCTTTGGACACAAAGATGAATGTGCCTTTATTAGAGTCTTTTGGTACTGGCAACCTGGTCAGGTTCCTTTCAGTTTCCATCAGATGATACACATACTCGGTGACTGCACTGCCAAGTTCCTCATAGTGAGCCTGACACTCTTGGTGCTGGTTACTAACATTAAACTGGAATGGTTCCTCAGTTATTTGCCCATCAACACCAACTTTCCGCAACTGACCTTCTGTGAATTAATATAAAGCAGATGTGAATTGTTTATGTATCATTTATAAACAAGATTAGTGTATATAGGTAGGTATCAAGACTTTGGGTATCTTTCACCTTTGAACCACAAAATCAAGTAAATAATGATAAAAAAATTACCACTGTTGAAGGCGTAACCTAGGCGTTTCATTGCTTTGATTGCGTCCATTTTTTCTCCTTCAATGGTACAATAACTATGACCGGAAGTTTCTGACCAATTTTGCTTCGGCGGTTTAGTCTTGAAGTATACTCGAATTTTACGTAGAAATCTGAGTGACATGGAGTGGTAACCAAAACAATGACTAGAAGAGAATATGAAACATAAAAGAAATGAACTCCACAGCAACTAAGAAAGAAATTATACTTTATTGATAAAACACAATTTAAAAATAAACAAAATTAATTCAAATCTATGAAATTTTAGTCTACAGATTTGACGTTTGTTATCAGTTTAGAAACGTTCCATGTACTTACTGCGTTTTATTTGGACACTAGTATTTCGGAACGAAACGAAATAATATATTTTACTCTCTCTTTTATTTTATTTTCTTGGTGAGCTGATAAGGATAAGAGCAAAAATTGTAGCAATGAACTTTGTCTTAATTTCCCATCTAGACTGTGTCTTTTTTAATCAAAAGGTGGCAAGTTGGAATACTTTGGGTTGGATTTTATGTGGAAGCATCATGGGTGGTTAGAGTATGTTAAAGGTATATTATGTTCATTCCCTAATTCAACTTGGTAAAAGTAATAAAATTGGCGAAACGGCGTTACGTTAAATATTACGCACAGTATTTCCATTTTTTTTATACAAAATGATTTATATATTTTTCTAGCTTTTAAATTGTTTGCAGATGAAAAACCTATACAAAAATATAGAATTTAACAAAGGAATTAGAATACAAACAAAAATTGTGTAAAGGAATCACATTATACTTCCACTAATTATATTCTTTGCAATATACATACAGTTATTCATAAAAAACAAAAGCTCCATAAATTTTGTCTGTCATTTAATCATTATACCAATCTAAAAACAATAAGCTGAATGACATAACTAATAAAAAGAATAGTACATAAACCCTAAGCCCTGCATTCCGTTGTATAGCCTGCTTTATTTGTTCATTGGCATCCTTAACATTTTCTGTAGAGCCAACTACAGTGTTAGATATCCTATCTATGTCCTGTTCTTGTTGTAAGACCTGAAAAAAGAAACAATATGATTACAGCAATATCCAAACTCACAGGTACTATTTTTATTACATTAATAAGAAGTCATAAAAAATAAATAACCTTTTCAGTAAATATTTCTTGTAATTCAGCAATGTGGAGGACTTTACTTTCTATTGCTTTAACTTCCTCAGTCATACTGTTTAGTTCATTCAATAGCTGCACATTCTCAGACTCAAACATCTGAAGCTCTTCAGCACTGAGCTCTTCATCAGCCAGGACTGCAACATCATTCTCACAGAGATCCATTTTCTTCACAGTGTCAGGTTCTTCCACTTCTTCAATATCTTTATCTAAAACTTTATCCGTGTCTTTTTCAGCTACTTTGCCAACAATAAAGGGGTTTGGAATGTTCGATTTAGTTTGCGGAAGCTCCAAACGCGATAGTTTCCGCATGACTAGAGTTCGTTTTACCCGTAGAGCTTTCAGCTCGCTGTGTATCTTACAAACCGCTTTCAAGTACATATCTATAAGATCAGCCACTGCTTCCATGTATTCCTTCATCTGAGGAGCTGCTGTTACCTTGCGGTTGTCATTCCTAAACTCCTTTAGCAAGTGCGAGCATGTATTGATTATCCTTTGCGCCCCTGTGTCTATTTGATCCCTCTCGGCATCAGTCATCTCTTCTGCGACCACATTGTCATAAAAACTCAAATATTTCTCACGATGCTCTAGTAAAAAGTCTCGCAGCCTAGTGATTTGTGAAGTTATGTCTTTCGCAGTTATCATGAATGCAGTTTTTGGCTTGGTTCGAAGAATACGTTGTTTATCATCGCTGGTTGGGCTTTGTATCCCAAAGGCCTTATTTCGAGTCTTCACAGTTTTTATATACGCTCTAAACAGTGGCGTGATGTCCATTCTGGAATCCAATTACCATATATTGGAGTTGGAAACTGATTTATCAAAAATCTTACAAGTTCCAGCTGTATTGTATTGATATTCTGGAATTGACATCTCACAACTCAAACGTCAAGAACAATGACGTTATCGTTTTTGTTCGGATACATCTATCCATTTATTTTATAAAGTAATTTACTACATGCTCCACATGTGAACCAAAACCGGTTGAAGCTCTGGAACGTAACAGTTGTTGTTTTCTATTTTTCTTGTCGGCTGTCATTATCTGTGGATTGATTTTACACTACTCCTTTATTACTTTACTCTTTGATTTTACAATACAAAAGAAAAGCAGTTTATGAAATAATCTAAAATATTTAATTGTTTATTTTTTTACTAAAAATACAGTAAAAATATTTAAATATACACAATTAAGATGGGGTCAACTGCTGGTAACGCACATCAAGGCGAACATTCTATACCCATCGATATTTTAGATGACCTATGCAGGTAGGTTGTTTTCACGAACAAAATATTGCAAAGGCAAACAGTTTTCGGCTGTTTATTTTATGATGGTAGCACAAAACCAAGTTTTCTAATGATATTATTATGAGAAAATAGTCATTGGCTAGTAGATTCTAATACGCCAGACTGATGCTCTAACTGGATTCCTCCTTGACAAAGTTGCATAAACTTTGAGAAAAACATTTCCACCATCAAATCCATAACAATAATAAAAATGTAGGTAGAGTATAATGAAACCGAGATGATGTTACCTTTATTGGGGTAAAGTAAACATTTATCAGTTTATAAGTTGAAAAGAAATCTTGTGGTCAAAAACAAGTTAAGATATTTGCAAATCTTATCATCTAGTGCATCTATTTTCAGCCGTTTCATAATAAATCTCCCACAAGAGGACCGTAGTAATCTGGTGCGAATATGCTTCCAAACAGAGTTGGCACATTGGTTTTATTTAGATTATTATTGTACGGATGAGACCAACAGACTACATCCTTGTGGTATTAGAGAGTTTGCGGCACATATTTTTCAAGTAAGTGCCTTGTTTACCATCAGATTGTTACTACATTTCCATTCTCTGCAACATTTACAAAATAAATGATGTGCATTGTAAATGAGAAATGATTAATTAGCCAAATATTAAATGTGTAGATAGTCATGTGTTTTGTAAAATATTTAGTGATTATTCAGGATGGTATTAACTGCAATTATGATTGTGGTTTGTATATTGTATTTTTTTTTATTAAGTTGAAAGTATTTTTTGTGTCTTAGGCAGCAATTTTTAGCCCTTTCAATAGAATTCTAAGAAACAGATGTAGATGTATTTTATGAATTATTTCAATTCAATTTGGTGTTATTGGTGTTTTTTTACATCTTTTGTGCAAGGTGGTAATAAATATTTTGTGGCTAATCTGGTTAACATAAGACTCCCAGCTCCAACAACCTTTTCTGTTCTTAACAATTGTCTGTATAGAGATATTTGTATGTGTAGCACGTCCCGCAACTCCGAGAGCATGTGAACAGTTTGGACGCGGTGCTAGACAACTGGCGCGAGTACAAGCAGACAGTGCCCACGTACGGCGCCATCTTGTTGGACACAGATCTCACGCACGTATTGCTAGTCCAGTCCTACTGGACCAAGGCCTCCTGGGGCTTCCCAAAGGGGAAGGTCAATGAGGATGAGGAGCCATGGAAATGTGCTGCTAGAGAGGTATGGATACCAGATTTATCTTAGGACCGAAATTAGAAACAGATCAGAAATCTTAAGAAGAAAGAAAGCTAGTTGTATGGATTTTTTTTCGAAATTAGAGATTGATTCAAAGATTCGGGAATATGTTTTGTTATTACTTATGTGGGACATTTCATTTATACATAAGCATTTGAAATACCCTTGGTTTGTTTTTCATCCACTCAAGTTCATTGTAGACTATCTTCCATTTTTCATATTAAGAAATATGTAGTAAAAACCCTTTTAGCAAATATCACATATTTAAAATGATGTATTACCATAATTTTCGTCCTTTCTAGGTCCTTGAAGAAACTGGTTTTGATATCAGTAAACTAATAAATAAGAATGATTATATAGAAGCTATAATACACGAACAAATTGTCCGCCTGTATATTATCGGATACATTCCTAGAGATACCAAATTCCAGCCGCGAACAAGGAATGAGATTAAGGCGTGTGAGTGGTTCCCGTTGGCCGATTTGCCGGCCAACAAGAAGGATATGACGCCTAAACTGAAAATGGGCGTGAGTCCAAACGCGTTCTTCATGGTGCTACCGTTCGTGAAACGTATGCGACGCTGGGTCGCAGAAAGGAACTCAAAAGTGTTCACGAATACTCGAAGAACGCGCCACAAATCAATGGGAGACTTGGAGTCTACCTCCGCAACTAAAACTAAAGGAAAGCAAATCTCTCAAGGGCTACAGAATGAAATACAAGAGTATCAACAACTCAATTCTAATTCTGTGCCGAAACCGTTTAAGAACCATGGTAATCATAACAGCGGTAATGCTAATGTGCATGGGAACAACAGTAACCATGGTAATATCCATAATCATGGACATAGCCACGGGAATGGGCCGAAAAATACTCCTAATCAGAATAGTTCTAGGAAAGACAGAAAGATAGCTAAGCGTCAGTTGTTCACGCCACAGAACGCTCATGCAAGTCCTAGTGTAAGCTTCTCTCCTGTGCAAAAAGACAACGGTCCACCCGTAGCGGCTACTAATCACGTTGAATCTCCGGACGACAGTGTTTTCTTCAACTTTGTGGCTCCGTCCTGGGCAAACTTCAAGTTTGACAAACGAGCCATCCTCGAATGCCTTACCTGAGCGTAAGGAAGAACAAGTCTGGTTCTAACTTCTATATCACGTTGACTTCCCACTTCCATTTTGACAATATTTGTAATTAAATGATTACAAAGCAGTGATAATGTTGTTTCATTCCTAATTAATTACCATACATAAATATCTTTTTTGCCCCACACTACGATATTCTCCTGTGTCGTGGGTGCATTTACAAACATATAATATCACATACATTATTTGTGGACCACACAGAGTTTTTACGTGTGGGAATCTTACCCGCGACACGTTGCGCGGCAGCTAGATAGCCAGCCACCGTGCCAACCGTGCATTTCAATTCCGAATAGTGTGTAGGAGTTAGGCTTCGACACGAATTAGCTGGTTCCACTAGAGTGGTAACACGAACGAACAGAAAAATGGCTCGAACAAAATAACCGGAGGCCCAATCCAATCCTTTCCCAATAACTAAATTCTAAAAAGGTCCATAATGCATTTTTGCTACTCCTCTGCCGGGTTGGGCCGCGCGGTTTGCTTACCATCGTATGACATGAAAAAATGAAAGAAA